GTGTAAAAAACTGTTTGCGTTTTGCTACCATTGACAAGGTAAGTAAATTTACGAGTTCCTTTTTTATTGAGGAAGCAGCTGTCAATGATATCAAAAAGCCTGGACTTTAATTTATCATGGGGAATTATTGTGTATGACGTTGAAAACTTTTTTTTAAGCTGTTGATTTTTGTTAAGTCTTGTGATTTCAAATTGTCCAAAAGTTCTTTAGAATGTTTTAGTATCCACATCTGATTCACACCACTTCTAGAATATATAGCTGCACAGTACTCATGAAGTTTTTTTTCCTTCACTACTGTCAATATCTTAGTGAGGAGTGACGAAAGAGGCTTGGTTAAACATTTACTGGAATTTGCAATGTATCTTTGTAAGGATTCTTATGAAGTTTCGGAAATCAATACATATAAAGTAGTTCAAAATTAATTTTGGCTCTGTGGAATATTAAAAGTATTTAAAGCTGACAGGTGATTTTGAAGAATTTCTTACTTAGAAAGGGAAGTATAAGTATAAGTAGGATTACCACTTGTAGAATTAAATCCAAGTTCTTCTAGAATGCAATTTATATAATGAGCCTTACAAACAAAGACAATTTTGTTACCTGCTTTGTCGGCAGGAACCAGTACGTACTAATAATGTGATCTATCAAATTGTTTTTTCACTTCCAGTTTATTGAACACAGAAGGATAGATGGTTTTCATATTGCCCCTAAATCTTTTAATACGTGACTTTAACATGGATCTGATACATTTAATCCATTTTGACAAGGTTTCAACGTCTTCTTTTTCATATCTGGCCCATCGTCTGGCGAAATTCTCAACAGAATCCATAATATTTATGAAATTCCGACGCCAGTTGAAGGATCGGGGTTCCCTATATTTAGGACCTTTTAAAATAAGTGATCTAAGGTCCTCATTACGAACTATATTTAACCTGTAATAACGTTTCCAGCAGGAGTATAGGTATAGGGCGACGAAGAACATGAACACGATGGAGGATTATGTTTCAAATGTTATAATTTTTTAAAAGAATTTATACATAGCAAAACGTTGCAAAGGTCACATTTTCCATATCAGTTCTTAACATAGCTGAGAACGAATCTGTACATAATTATGAATTTATAATATTTATTGGAGTTACCAAAACATATGTACTGGTCGAGCAAGTGCTTACTCTGTGTTTATGTAGACCGTCAATTTAATTGGATATTATTTTTATGGAATACCTGTTCGACTGGTATTCGAATGAAGCATTTGACCCATAATCAACGTTCTAAAGATAGCTCAAAAGATCCATTCAAACGGAAAATTTTACCACTTCAATGCGCTTAATTGTATCAGAGGTGGGATCGGATGCCATGATAATGTACATGTAAATGGCAATAAATACAAAAAAGACGTGCACATCGATATTGTTATGGAAGTTTTTTTCCTGTAAACATTAGGTAATTCGTACGTTGTAAGAAAACATTGTTCATGTTCATACAATTTCAACAGTTTTCAAAATTCTAAATGATTTGAAAAATAAAGTTTTATAATGATTCTAAAGACTGCCAAGAGAAAATTCATTGACTTCCCGAGCCGTGACAACGGTAATCTGTTTTAAAAATTAAAATGCTTTCTGTTGCCTCCAATTCACTAGATAAAATATATTTTAATTTCTTTCTAAAACTTGTCTTTAAGTTTCATTATCTACAAACTATTACAGTTTTAACACAAAAAAAACTGCTTGAAAAAATTCTTCCTAAAATCCCCAAATCCCAATTTTTTTAGATTCGAAAATGACTCTTCAAATATAAAAGAAGTGTATCTTTTTTGTTCTGTCAGACGTAAAAATTTTTTAAAGATTGATCGATTTTTTTTCAGAAACTCATATTCAAAAACTTGTAAAAAAAATTATGATATGGTGCAAAATAAACCTTAAAATTAAAGGAAGGTTTTTTGGAAAAGAAGGAAAGACCTTAGTAGTAATAATTGAAAAAATATGACTTACCACGGTTTGATGTGATGCCTTTAACCTCGTTTTCCATGCTCTCCTTGCTTGATTTTTCTGTTTGTTTCTGAACATTATCTTTGATGTCAGACATTTCTTTTGAAAGAGCCTCGTACTTTCCAGAATAATTTATATCAATGGTTTGTAACTCTTCATCTAGAACAGCTTTTTGGTGTCTTTCACTGTCTTTTAAATCATTCTGCATTTTTTTCATCATATTGATTTCTAAAACCCCTAAGTCTTTCTTAGTTTGTTTCATAGATTCTTGTAAAGTTTTGATTTCATTTAAAGCATTGTCATATTGTTGCTTCAGATTTTTTTCTTTCTCCCCATCCTCTGCACTGATAATCTGTATTTCCTGTTCTAACTTCTCAAATCTTGAAAGTAATTTCTTTATTTCTGTTTCCAGTTTCTTCTCAAGCTTTCGTATTTCATTTTCAAACTTTTCGTTGATATCTCCTACCCTTTTCTCGAGCAGCTTATTACTTACACTATTACTATCACCAGTACAATTTGAATCTTTGTATTTAGAATTACTACTGATTTCTTCTGGATTGTCTTTCGACATTAAATAACATGGACATTTAATGAAAATAGAAACACCTAATACTACTACTACTACTACTACTACTAATAATATAGCTTTGGAATTTCTATATCTATACATGAAAGAATTCAAATTCCAATGTGCAGAGCTCTTTTGAGTTGTAGTATTTTCATCCTTTTGCTTCCTTGTGGCATTTTTGGTGACTATATCTGCAAAACAGAAATACATCAGCTGAAAGTTTTATTAATTAGTGTGAAAAAAGTTTGCACCTATTTGCAAAAACAAGAAATCATTTTAAAGTTAAATTAGAAAATCATGTTTTCTTAACTTTTTAATTGGAAAGACATCTCAATTCCAAAATATGTTCTAAACTTTCACTTTAAAAGTTATGTGTTTGAGAACGAAGTAAATATTCAATATGTTGGTGTCCTTCTACGATTATCTCATATTGTATATGTTCTTTTCTTTATGCTAAATATATATATAAATGTTATCTAAAAGTATGTGGACCATTATGTTATTTATCTATACATGTAAATGCATTTTTAATGGTTCTTTTCTATTGCGGTGTGTTTAAAAACTCTCAAATGATCTATAAATCTAAATACATGTAAATGGAATATGAAACGTATTTGAATATAAATATTATTTTAATCATATATTCCAAGCCCTCTGATTGGCTTAAACTTGGTCATATGATTTAAGTATATAAAAGCATATACACTTGAGTTACTTTTGAATCTAAAATGCATATCGAGTTGATATTTCTTAAAATGGAGGTAATATTCTGTAAAACAAAACATTAATAGTGGTGATTTCACAATTATAGCTAATACAGAATATGACGATGTTTTTGAAAAAAATTGATACTTCGACTTGTATTTAAATTTGTAATGTTCTGTAGTTAATAAGACGTAACAATGGCCTGAATTAGAATCTACTTAATGTTAGAACAATTAGAATATTTCACCTAATTTATTCATTCTGACAGAATTAAACATCAGTGAGCTTGTAGCATGTGCGAAATATAAAATAACCCCAAAGCACTTAAACATTGAAATAAATCTAATGTTATCAAAGACCTATGTATATAATAAACAAATGCTACGTATTTTAGTTTAATGTTTTATTCGAGTTGGCAGGTATTGTCCACAGTGGTCTACACAACAGTGGGGCAGCCGGCAAAATGGCATACCCCCAACATCAACATAAGTTGTGCCCTCCCTGACGGGAAAAGTAGCACGCTGGGTTGACCTCATTCGTGCTACGGACACATTTCAACACAAATTATCTTTTATAATTATATTATTTTGCTTTAGCTTTAAATTGTATAAGATATAATTTTCAAAGTCAACATCACATATATCAACATCAACCATCACATATATCAACATCAACCACAAAAAGTCAACAAAATCAACAGTTCAATGGTTAAATTGAAGGTGACGATTTCGCAAACACGACCACTGTGAAGTATAGTTTACTGTCTTTCCCCGAACTCCTCGAATGGATAATTCGCCAAATTGACCCTTGTCATGCATGGTATTCGGCCAGATCATTCCTAAGGTCCCAGAATACGGAAATTCCAAAGGTCCCAGAATACGGAAATAGCAGGCAATTCAGATCAGCATCGTTAGTCTCCTTCAACGAAATCTCTAATATCTGAAAAGACAAAAACAAAAACCCACAGCAGAAAAAGATTCTGAATAACATTCACAACTCTAATAAATTTGGTATAACCAAATGATGTAAAACGATGAAAAACGTTATTTAAACAAACAAAAGTGAAAGGGTATATACTCCAACACCTAGCTCAAGGGGTTAAGGTGGGAGGGTATTTCATAAAATAAAAACATAAATTCGGAATTCTGCATCACTCACCTTTCACTTTCATTGATGCATAGAAAAGGGGAGATAACCCGTAAACCTAGTGACTAATTACCGACACTGTATGGATCGAGTAGATCAAATTCCGGCTTATCACATTTATTAGTTTTTTCCACAAAAAGGAGGTGAATGATGACATATAATAGGATAGAGCTTTGATAACGGCGCATATTGTGAGATGAACTCAAATATGCGGTATTATCAAAGACCTATGTATATAATAAACAAATGCTACGTATTTTAGTTTAATGTTTTATTCGAGTTGGCAGGTATTGTCCACAGTGGTCTACACAACAGTGGGGCAGCCGGCAAAATGGCATACCCCAAAATCAACATAAGTTGTGCCCTCCCTGACGGGAAAAGTAGCACGCTGGGTTGACCTCATTCGTGCTACGGACACATTTCAACACAAATTATCTTTTATAATTATATTATTTTGCTTTAGCTTTAAATTGTATAAGATATAATTTTCAAAGTCAACATCACATATATCAACATCAACCATCACATATATCAACATCAACCACAAAAAGTCAACAAAATCAACAGTTCAATGGTTAAATTGAAGGTGACGATTTCGCCACATGGGCACCATAGGTGCCCCACCTGGTGGGGGTAGGCAACTTCAATTTAACCACCCACCATGGACTCCTAGCCTACTCAAAACCCTCAGCAACCCATCCATCGTGAACATCACTCTCTCTCATTGCCAACCCACTGTAGAACTATCCTGCATTAAAATAATTCTGGTCTCCCTTCAATTAATTGGGCCTAACGTCCCCCTCCTGAATTTATATCTTTCAAGTTACTAGTATATTGCTTTGGGTCTCAGATTCCATTATTAATAGCCAACTGGCAAGAGAGAACTATTACCTGGACTAATATAAGAAAATTATGTAGAAAATACATTTTTTAGATCCCCCTTTTTATTTATTTGTTTATAAATTTGAATTTTATTTCTTATTTAATTATTTTTTAGGTGATAAAATACTTTCATGCAGAGATTAGAAACAAGATGAATGAGCACCTTTACTCTTTAACCTCCCCCTTTCCCTTTCAGCATGATTATGCTATTCCTGTATTGTTGACAATAATTTTAAAAGTGTTCACGTGCCTAATTTGTAAACTGCAGAACACGTTTTTTGATATTTGGTAAATTATGTATTTTGCCATTTTGAGGGAATGATGTTTTATATACATGTACCACTCATTTTGAAAGCGAACTCTTCAAAGCACCATTTAAAATTGATTAAATCTTGTATATAATAAGTACCTTTCAAACCAAGACACACAATGGAGGGCTGTATTTGTATTTACAGCTCATTTGTAAAAGTAGTTGGACTGGAGCAGACACTGAAGGCACACATGACTAAATCCTTTATTCTAAATCCCTTCCCAGCTGATGCTCTAACCCTAACCCTAACCCTGATGCTCTATCAAAAATGCATGATCTTTTCACACCTAAAGCTCACCCCCCCCCCCGCAAAAATATGTTATGGAATAGGTTATTTAAATAATAGACTTCAAAATATTTTAAGGCTGTAGAAAATGGATATTTGATAAAGAGCATAAAAATTAATATGCTTAGTCAGTGGAAACCTAACCTATATCTAATACCCTAAAATGCTGGAGAATTTTATCTAATCTTAATACTATGAATCTTGTAACTCCTACACACATGTGGATTTGTATTTGCATCCCTTAGCTAACCTGTATTTGTACCCACTAGCTAATGCATGGATGTAAACTGCATGTACATATATATGCACCGACTAATGCATCTTAATCCCATATGAGATAAATGTGTAAAGTAACATAAAATAATTATGCTACATGTAACTGCTCAGATGAGAGATAAACACCTATCATATTACAAGCAAATGGCACCTGGGTTTGAACTATATTTTCAATGGAAAACGCCCCCTGAGATATATGCATATGTGTCTTAATTTCCAACAGTAGAAGCACATACTATTAAAAAGAAAATATTGTAGGAAATGGTTTGGATTTGTAAAATAGCCTGTGGGAACAATATGTGTTAACACCCCCCCACCCCCATCCCCGCGCTGTTAGGTAGTTAGGTAATCTCGCCTTTAGTGCTTATTAGTGATAAAGAAAACTAGTTGCCTAAACAATTTACCCTTTGCGAGTTTAAAAACTGTGAATATAGAATTTTAACTAAAGCAACTTTTATCTGTGTGAAATAGCAAATCTTAATAACTTAGAGACACAGCAGAAACCAACACTGACAAAAAGCCCCAATTTGAACCTTATAAGTCTAATTATAGCCCTTTCTATTTTATTTATTTATTGATTTATTTATTATTGTTGCACGACCATTCATACAGCATATGCCATATTAGGAAAATACATAGAAAGTACCAGCACTGTGAGCTGTGTTCAGATGAGCCTGCATATGCATTGACTCAGTGTAGCACCTGAAGAACTCTGTGAATTGTCCCTCTTCCCAATGCCAAATTGAATAACGAGTAAAATTGGTAAAAGTTCAGGAAATTTGAGTTGCAATTCCTATTTTAAAGTTCACTTTCCCCAATGAGAAAGATAACTCTAAGGAATAAATGTTAATTATGTTAATTTCCTAATACTCTTGACAATTTATTTATTTCACAGTGCTTCAATTAGCCTATAAATTATTATTATTAAACTTCTTTTTATAGTCTTTTATTTGTAGAATTGTATTTCAATACCCAAAGTTCTCTTCTTGTATAAATATTAAACAAGTGACTAGACCCATGTTTTTAGAACATTGTCAGGAAATAAAAGCCCATGCTGAAATTAATCTCTGTGTAAATAATCAACATTGGTGAAATAATCTATATATAATAAAGTAGTAAAACAAGTTTACCTGATTTTTCATGTTAACTTATTGTCTTAAGATGGTACAAAACTTTTCATTTACTAAACACAACTTTATAAGATACAAGGCCTTTATGCTGTTAATGGGTGAGAAGACTTTAAGGAGGCTAGGGGTCAACAATTATTAACCACCAGATATAATTTAAATTTTGGGATATGATATCTAAAGCTGTCAACTATTATTTGGCAAAGACAAATTTCATAAATGTTAGCTTTAAAATTTGATCAGTTATATCTTTATTGAGCTCTTCTTCTAAAGGAGATCCAAATAGCCTAAAAATGGCCACAACCACCCAGCCTCTTTAAATGTAGGTGTTTATATTGTGTTATCATCAAACCTTCTCAATTAAGGTAAAGGCGCTGTTAGAGAAATTCATGATTATGCTCATGTACACTGGAGACGGCTTCCAAGGAATGAACAGCATGACCTTCTTTTATTTCCTTTATGTATGATTTTAACTACCCCATTGAACAAAATGACAACACAGAATATAAATTGCGAAACATGCCCTTCGCCCCATCTTACTTAATCTGAACCCTTTGATATATATTAACCAGCAAAATAGTAGCTAGCCTTGCTAGATATTACATGTAGTTAATTAAAATAAAATTAGGGGAATCCTATTTATATCAACTGTTACTAATGAACCATTGAGGTCCTAAATTACTATGCCCACATTGTTATTGTTCTTGTTGAATCTGAAGTTGCCCTCCCTATCAAGCCCCTTAAGAGAAGTGATATCCGAATAGGCGAGGATGCTGCTGGTCCTAATATATTATTATTATGTGGATTTGACAGACAATGTACAATTCAACTCTGGTGCATGTTACCTATGCCGGGTATGCCTCCCAGATTTTACAGCCTGAATTGTTGATGGTAATGCTTCCATCCAACTGAATTTTTTTTATCAAAATCTATTTACTTTTTTTGCTAACATTCATATTTACTTTCCTTGAGTTTTGTCATATAGCATGTGTACAACTGTAAATATGTCTAAACAAATACACATCTTACTTGATGTTTCATTCATATCATAAAATGCATCATTGTAATGCTACATTCAAAAGCACCAAAACTTGTAATGTACTTTACTTCAAACTATTTTATTTCACAATTGATTACTGCCTTTGTCGCAACTGCATATCTTTCATGCCTCTCTTTGGACCCTTGTTAAAATTGAATGGCCTTGATTGAAATTTATATACTTTAATTAGAGTTATGTCCCTTTGTGAATCTAACTATAAATAACATTTCTAAAGATTTGTCAAACTTTTATTACTTCTCAATCTGTATTTTTATTTTTTATTCACTGTTTTCCAGGACAAAAGGTAGACTGGTATGGCACAGCTAGGGTAACCCTATTCCTTGAACATTTATTTATTATTATTATTTAAAAATCACTCGATATTTTAAATAAACTGATAAATGCACCAAACCCAAAGTTACAAAAGCATACTCATACTATAAGAATTATAATTATGGATATTCCCATTTTTTAAATCCCCTAAAGATAGGCTAAGGGATCTAAGTAACTAAATATAGGCCACCATGTGTACGGATGTTTATTGGCAAAATGACCTTGAATAAAATGGACCGAATAAAGTTGAAAATCATACCTATTTTTACATTAGCTCATTTTTTTCATATATTATTTCACTTAGTAAGTTTTTATTCATTCAAAATCTGCCGATGAAGTTGGTTATTATTTTACCACATTGTAATCTTGTACCATGTGTCAGTGTTTAAAGCATGGACGGGTGGCAAATCGATCTGTTTCAATCCAATAAAATACTTGCCATCGAGCAATATCAATGTTAATAAGATAATCTGATTTACTTCTCTGACTGAAACTGAACTTTAAAACCTGGAAATTATTATAAAATATTTCATAAAATAAAAACATAAATCGGATACTTTCATCACCCACCTTTCACTTTCATTGATGCATAGAAAAGGGGAGATAACCCGTAAACCTAGTGACTAATTACCGACACTGTATGGATGGATAAATAAATTCCGGCTTATCACATTTATTAGTTTTTTCCACAAAAAGGAGGTGAATGATGACATATAATAAAAGGATAGAGCTTTGATAACGGCGCATATTGTGAGATGAACTCAAATATGCGGTAATATTTATAACAATCGTATATTCTTCAGAATATACAACTCACATGTGCATATTTAAAAACTAAAATAAAATTGTATACAAACTGGTTCCTTAAGAAGCTTTTACTATATACATTTTTAATACGAAAGCATGAAATAGTGTTTGAAAAGAATCAATAAAGCCCAAATCTCATTTGAATTTGTGTTTCCTTCTTAACTGACATACTGACTTTAAAATAAAGCTAATCTTAAGAGTGAGAACAAAAATTCCGTGTTGATTTGTTTTTTATGTCTACATCCCCATTCATATGACATAAGAACTACGTACTCTAACTCTTGATTCCCGCCTACATTTTGCACCCATTAAATTCAATTTTAATGGCAATTTGGCCATTAAATCTTT